ATGTCGTCCTTGTACGGCGGCAGCCTGCTGACGGCCGTCTGGTGCAGCAGCCGGCTTGTGCGGCTGGGGAGGATGCGCGCGTTTCTGAAGATGGAGGTGCGGAGGCCGGACATGTTCTTTTGGGATCGGGTTTCTCGTGCGTTACGAGGGTATGAGGTAGGTTAGAAGCTGGTTATATGTGAGGGGAGGTTCCCAGGCGCTGTCGTATAGTCTTGGAAGCAGGTTTATCCCGTGTGCGTATCAATCTTTTACTCTTCGGATGATGATTAGCTGCTTAGGCCAGAGTAATCGTATTCTTTAGTCGTATTGTAGGCCAATTGATAATGTGGTTGATTAGGTATTTGTTTGGTTCGGTTCGCCTCGAGGAATGATGTAGCTGCAGCTAGCTCTAGCAGTAGAGGTCGGGTGATGACGTAGTGACGTCACAACAAATATATGGGGTTTTCGCTACACAGTATCCCTGAGGAGCACTTTCCGGGGTAATGGGAATTCATATGAGTATTGATTGTTCATCCTGACCTTTTTTTTTTCGCCCCATAGAAGGTATGAGACTTTCGATAATCGAAATAGAAGAAGTATTCGAGAGAGAAGCTCAACTCCTCATGAGATTGAGCTTCATGACACCCCACGCAAGACGAGGTAAGACTGCATCCTGGAAAAGGATCGTAATTGAGCTAAGATCCAGGATCTCCTTGTCGGCGTGGTGCTATACCTCGAGAAATATAAAGGTCATTTTAATAATATCATACATTGAAGATCTAATTAATCCTTGTTCCTAGCGAACCAGAGCACCAGCAACATGGCCTATCCTATTAAGACAATCATATGCGAGCCCATAGTAACGCTTTTGATCAATAAATGTCTACTCCGGCGAGATGGAAGATATTCTCCTGTCTGATCCCTAGTTACCAATGTTGAACCAGCAGTGCAGCCAAAACCGCGCAGCCGGCTACAATTCGACCACTAGCCGTTCGATGGCCGTCACCTTGGCCGGCAATCGACGAGATGGAGGGAGTCGCCGTAGTAGCAGCAGTGGCGGTAGGTGCGGCAATAAAAGTAACGGTAACAGAGTGCTGCGCAGTTGGAGAAGCGCCATCACCCTTGCTCTTACTCTTACCATTACTCTTACTACTACCGCTTGTAGCGGTATTGGGGATGCCAAAGCCGAAACCACCACCCGTGGACTCCGCTACCGCTGTCAAGGAAGGAGAGCTGCTGGTATGTTTCGTCGATGTGGATTCAGACGTCGCGGAGCTAGTATACTTGGTGCTATTACCTGAGCTCGTGGGCGATGAGATAGACGGGCTCCCAAATGTCGGAGAAGCGGCTATACTGCTGTCGCTATTTTCGCATACATCCCCGAGGTCGCAACATGTACCGTCTGCTGTGCAAATGCCGAAGTCAGGGCAGTAATACTTTTCGCTGCTGCAGCAGGTACCCGTCGCCGGCATACAACCGTCGCCGCAAGGCACTTTCGGCGACTCGCATGGGCCTTGGCTGGCCTCTGAGGTGCACTATAACAAGGGTAGAGGTAAGTGAGAAAGAAGAGAGACTGTTCAAGCGAGGGGTGGCCGTGAATATCGCTCGCTTCGGCTGCGAGACAGTTGGACCTATGAGGGGATAAAAGGGTCCCAAGCTGGACAACGAGATCAACTCACAGTTTCGCCCTCGGGACAGCATGAGTCGGGTATGCAATAGTAACCAGCATCACACGCTGTGCCTGTGCCGTCGTTGCAGCAATTGTCTCCGACACGACTGCAGCTGAACTCGCAGACCTCGTACCCTACTGGACAGACAGACAAGATGTTCCCGAACACACTCTTGCTCGACGAAATGGCATGCGGTGTTCGAGGCACCTTCGCGGCGGAGGTAAGTAGCGCAAACATGATCGGGTCGAGAAAACGTATCTTGACGACGATATACCAGCTTGAAGCGAGAATATGTGCTCATAAAATAGACGTTGAAGATAATGCGTCATCTGAAAGAGCCTCTCTAGACCTGCATTACGAGCTGTCGAACTTTTAAAATCTCTCTTCCGCCGCCGTTCATGTGGAACATATGGAACTCCTTTTTCACGCAGCTTATCATTAGGAAGCCATCTGAGCCAAGATGTCGGATTAGGCCCCGAAGGGCATCACATCTCATCCTTCAAATTAAAACCAGCCGATCCTTCAAGCGCCGGACTCTTTGGCGGCTTCATATACTACCTCATATACTCTTTTATACCCTGGTTAGGGAAATTCGTTCACCGAGTAGTACACCTTATATACTACCTTCAGGGTAGAATGGACGGCCAGGAAAGCAACCACATCTGACTCTTCATCCTTCAGCGTCTCTATATTCGACTGTCGGCATACGCGTAATGAGGATTTTCAGAGGAACAAGGACACAATAGTGCATAAGCAGCGTTATTGAGTGCAAGCGTATAGCCGCTTGAATGACACCGTAGCAGCGAATACTTAGGTAGCTATACGGCTAGCGACTGATACCAAGCTTGTTATACGCACTTGGGGAACTGAAACAGTGAGATGGGCTGAAAAAGACTCAGTCAGCGTTCTGAACGCTAGTGCCGGGAGCAACAGACTGCGCACAGCTTAAGCTCCCCTTTTGAGAATTCTTGACCGCCGAGCCACTCGAATTTTACCTACATAAAGTAATACGGCTTAGTATGTGATGGGAATTGGTGAATGGACAGGTACAACTTCTCTCACCTGCGACATGAAGAAATAGGGGGTCAGTGACGCGTACTACCTGACTTGATAGATCTCTGCAGCTTGCATGAGTGAACGCGAAATAGGTCACCTACATCGTCTGGGCTTTGTCACCGGCTACACGGTAAGTCTACTGCCAGGTACTGTTAGGACTAGCAGTGAAAACCAAGCCACGTTTATAATTGGTGACCATATAGGCAAGGTAAGATTATAAGAGCTCGTTGAGAGAAGTTGGTAATTGGAAGTCTAAACTAGTCGGCGTTACTAACGGATACTCGTAGTGACCTACGAGAGCCCAGCTAAAGAACCCAGCCGGCGTCGCTAATTCTGGTTCTTCCTCACGGCCTGCATAACAGCTCATTAATGCGTAATCTTCAGCTGGAAGAAATGCAGATCAGCAGTCTCCGTAGTTGTCAGATCCTGATTGTAATTTCCGGCCTTGAAGAACGCCTTGGGAGTAGTGAAGTAAGTCCTCAAGGTCGTGAAGGCATTGTTGTTGATCCTCGCCAGCAGCTGGCCGCCTTCAAACCGGATCTCGTACGTGAACCGCGTGTTCACCGGCACCGTCCCGAGGGGCTGTAGATCTTGTCCAGCGCCGCCGGCCGCGGCCTTCGCAGTTCCAAACTGGATCTTCCCGTCGCTGGAGTAGTATAGCTCCGCAAAGGGCTTGTTGTATCCGCTATCTGCTTGGAAGACCTGCCCAATGCAAATGTTATGCACGTTCGTGCCCACCAAATCGGCAAACAGTCTGTTCGTGCCTGTGTTGGGACTCCAGGTAGCCTTCTCCCCGAGCTCGGTGCGACACTGTAGTTCACTAGAGTCAGTAATTGCACTTTCAGGTGATGCAGACGGGAGTTAAGGACCACTGCATGCCTCCCGAAACATGCTTATCAACATAAGAGGAACGAATTGCTTCCGCACATTGCTATAACAGGAAGAAATGACACCAGGGGTTACATACGTGGTCACTCTCGGCGAACTTGACGCAGCCCGTCTTGGACGGGGTACCCGGCGCCTTCATTACGAGGGCGCCATCGCTGGTCTCCGTGAAGAAGTAATGGTGCCCGGGATCTTGATATCCGCTGCAACCCACAAGCTGGGCTGGTTGAACAATTTGCGGTGAGCCGTTGCCGATGGGGAGTTGGAGCTCCCACGGGCTGAGGTCGAAGTTGCCGCCCGGCGCACAAGTAGGGTCGAGAGCCCTAGCTACGCCTAGGGAGGCGAGGAGGGTGAGGCTGCCGGTGACCTTCATATTGATGATGGGATGGGTATAGGTAAGGGTGTGGGTGTTGTCGACGAGTTGGGCAGATCAATGACTACAAATGCGCCTTGATTTTTGAGGTCGGCTCTTGTTAAATAAGTAGATATTCACCGGCTGCCAAGACCTCGATTCAGCATTTTTTCTCTGAGTGATGTTTCTAAAATCTGACACTGACTCCAGAAATAGTATTTCAGATCTACCAAGCACAACTAATACACAACTGTGGTTTTGATTAGCGACTACCTGTGGTTCTTACTCAGTACATACACAATGAACGATTTAGCCAATCATGCTTAAGGGTCAAGGTAAGAAACGGCAACAGCTGGATTCTCCCCTATTGAATACCCGGTCAGCTCGGCTTAGTCTGGGGGGCTCTAACGCTCTTAGGAACCCCTCAATTGAACCTCCAAGATACTGTAGGCATTACCATCCCAAATCGGAATAAGGATGCAACCTGAGCCATGCTGCTTTTAACCTGAGCCTGGCCTGAGCATAACCAACCATTACGTTTATTGTGTTCGAGCGACTTCCTAGGAAGTCACTTAAACGGACCATCTTGTAATATATACGAAGATCCGTTTTATAATAAACGGTATTTGCCTTTGTGCAACTGTAGTGAAATCTACCTAGGTTCTTAAAGCTTGTCAGGTGGATCATGGGCACTCATGGACCCACCACCCACCTTTGCCCACGAAAGCCTTCGCGCCCCTGTAGATTAGTCTTTCTTTCCTTTCCTTTTCTTTCCCTCTTTTCTTTCCCTTTCCTTCTTCAAGCATATTATTTACATAGAAATATACAGTTATGATCACTGCATCAGACTTCTGTTCTTTTGCTTGTCACATCACACCACACAAGTGCTACCGCTGAACCCTCTTACAAGCGCTCTTACCACAGCACTCTTTCCGCCCACGCTCTTTCCAACACTCTTCCGCCCACGCTTCTTAAGCCATTAGGGTGTCGCTATCTGCTGCCTACCTAGCTTGCACTTTATAAGTTTGTCTAATTGAACAGCTTTCAACAAAAAAAACCCCAGAGTGGTGTAATAGTAGCATCCCTAGTTGACACATGGTAGTATTAAACCATGCCCTTCGGGGGCCAGGGGATCCGGGTTCGATTCCCGGCTCTGGGATAAACTTTTTGCTCTTTTTTGTTTTTTCGAGTTCTATTTAATTGCAGTTGCTATCTTTCTTTTCACTGACGGCCTATTTATTATATCTATTATCTATTTATCTCTCTCGATCTTGACCATCTTCATATACTGCTCACTCTCGACGCCAAATCTGTCGGGTAAGGCCGTTACGGCCTAGAACGCGCGCTGGTGACGGTTAACGATAGGGCGGGATGTAAATGAACGGGTTGTTACATTAGTCGGTAATTCACCAATCTATACGGGATTAAGACAGGCTGTAAGGGCTAGAACCGTTCTCAGAGCTGGGACCGTTTCAAGCCTGGAGGTTTCAAGGTTACGCTCTCTGCACAAATCACAGTCACCTGACTGCTGGCTGAGCCCAGCCTGAGATAAAGCGGCAAATGCGCTAAACCTAGTTCGTTGCATACTTGGTATTTGGTAAAACCTAGAACCCCCAATTGCCTATATCGTCTGACTTGCATGGAGCGTGGTATTAGCTCGTGTCTACAAACGGCGGAGGTCAGAGGTGCATTAAAGGAGAAGCCTTGGCTGGCGTCAGCATAGCATACCGCCTCGCGCTCAGCTTGCTCATCATGTCATGTGGACGTTTACTAGCTTACCTAATACCCGTCAATCTTACGTAAATTATGCGAGAACAAGGAAGGTCATATTATTCACATGCTAGTATGCTCATGCTGTGTAACGTTTCCTTTCTAAACAAGTTGTATGGAGACTTCGAGTCCATGGGTATATCCTCCCTTACTCACTCACTACAACATTTCTAGACATTCACTTGGAAGTGATGGTTCATTCTCAAATTAGATATTAACACAGCATATATTTGACATCTACATTCGTACCGATAACATAGGTCTCAAGCCCATTGGGCTAGATTGGCCCTTGACGATAGAGGCCGTGCTCACTAAGGATAACACAATATGTCAAGTCTCAGGCCAGAACCGACAATGAGTGAAGAGTGTAGGGAACAAGTCAGTTTAATAGCAGTCAGTATCCTTGCATTTGGGGTATAGAGAGAAGGGTTAGATGCTCGCAGTATCATGGAGCGATCCCTCATAGATCATCATTGTCAGAAGAATCGTTGTCGACGTGATCGGCTGGTAAGTCTTGATGACGTGTTTGACGAACATAAAGTGGTAGCGGGAAGTTCGGATCGTCCAACATACGAGCAAAAACGTAATTAAGCGTCCTGTCTGTTTCAGCCCCGATAGGCACAGTCCCGTCCTCCAGTACAACTCTGTAAACATAGAAAGCAGGGTTATCGATTATACCTGCGTTGATTCTGTCCCTTACAACCCTGACCCTATGTCGAACATTTGGGGGTACCACCTCTGGGGTCGCGCCAGCCGATAGAAGTTGAGCAGCTGCGTGGTAATTTCGAGTAGACAGAGCAAACGTCAACGCGGACTCGTACCAATAGCCGCAAGAACCTTCTGGAGGCAGAGTAGGAGAGTGATGGCTAGTCAACGGAAGTGGCGCATCAATATCTTGCCCCAAGTCAACAAGGCGTCGTATGATAGATCCTGCACTGATTGTGTCGAAGAGGAGTATAGCATACCGCAAGGCAACGGCGTCTCCGGCACTTGTGTTCTCGAGTAGCCATTCACAAGTCTTGACAGCGTCTTCCCCGGCATGCATTGCATTCAGAAGGAACCGCTGTTGGGCTTCACGATAGTTTAGCTCGACTGCCACTCGGGTAAAACGCTTCACCTTGTCAATGTTGGAGTCCGAGACTGCTAATGCAGTAAGTGCGCTCACAGATGCGAGCAAGGTTGGATCCTGCGTCTCGATCTCCCACCTGAAGGCAACAAGCGCGTTCTCAATTGATCCAAACTCTCCTAGTGCCGCCTCCGTCAAACTCCCGGCGGTACCGATGATGAAAGCCCTGCAGTGGGTGAAACGCGAACCGCGCTCAAGCATGAGTCTAAGAGCTTGGGGCACTGGCCATCGAACATAGAGCATTCGGTCTAGCATCGCATCTTTCGAGGCTTGTCTTATTTGTCTGGCTTGATCGTCAAGCTCATCATTCTCAGCTTCGCCTCTTTCAAGAAGGAGTAGGACTATGGGCTCGAGACCGGAAATCAGCGCCATGTCGAATTCTTGTGTCAAACCTTGGTTGCCTTGATTGTCCCTATCATACGCAGAAAAAGTAGGACAATGCTTTGCCAACTCAAAAGCAATCTTTGCATGTTCGGCCTTCCTCTCCGGATCAAACCTAACAAAATACTGTGGCCACCCCACAACGAACGACAAGGTCATCCGCAAGGGGCTATCTTCGCCCCATAGCGAATGATGCGGCCTAGCTCCTTGCTCAAGGAGGTACCTGACCACGTCAAGACGTCGGCATCCGATGGCAATGTGGAGAGGTCCGAAAACTTGACGTCTAGAAAGAATGTCCACGATCTTACTCCCTCTACTCTCAGGGGAACTGGGCGGATCTGTAGCGGCTGACTGCGGGCTGGGAACTGGAACGGGCGGAAGGCTTTGAGGCGTGTCAACCGGAAAGTCGGAGTCTAAAAAGACGTTCTTGCTAACGAGGCGGCGACTAGCGACTTCTTGGTAGAAATCTAGTGCTTGACGAATTCGTTCTAAATCATAGCTATAAGCTATGACATCATGGAACAGAGGTCGTGAGCGTGCTTTGAACTCCTCCTGCATGGGAACCCACGTCTTGATGTTGAGCTGGCGATGAGCATCATCAATGAACACATGAAATCGCCCTGAGTTCATGAAGAGGTTTGGAAAATTGAACGCCATTCTTATCTTGTCTTCCGGGTCCATTTGGTAGATGATGTTAGCTAGGATCTCCGTAGGCAGAGTCTGTAGAGTAGGAGGATTGGCAGGCTTGGGGGCCACACCTGCATTGACGACCGTGCCACCGCCTCCCGATGTTTTTGCCATCATAGCGGCGGAGAGAGGAGTATCGCTAGAAACTTTCGCTAGCATCTCTAGGGACTGGATGTGGTCTAGAATCGTCAAGCAAAATGCTCAATGAACTGTGAAAAGGAAGGAGGTTGCGAAGAATCGAAATTCATCAACAAGTTCTTATAGACAATTTTACCAATAAGTGTCTAATAACCAATGAGAAAACCTGTTCATGGAAAAGTAGACGTTATTTGGGAGCCTCCAGGTTGTGTTCACAACAAGTTCTTTCACACATAACAGAATCGAAGTTTCAGTTTATAACAATATGTTTGTCCAATTACACAATCAAAATAATCTCTCCATTGTGCCAGCACCTTTCATTAGCAACAGCCCACTCACGGAATGCAACTGCAAGAACGGACTATAACACTAGAAAAGCGAGATGTATTCGAGACTTGCGCGTAGCCTCGCCCGCGGCGGTTTTATAGTACGGTGACAGATCCCCAGCATAAAGCTATTGTATTAGATTACTGAATGAATGAAGAAAATCACGAGCGACGGCTCGATCGCCAGCCATGATAACGGGGCAGATCATCGGAAATTGGGAATTATTTACAAAAGAACAGGATAAAGTCTCCGTTATATCATAGAGAGGAATTGAATTTTGTACACGTCTCAAATATTTTCCTCAGTATGCGTTTCTAGCGCTATTAATCAATAGGTTCATCTCATGGAACACTCGTTACCTAAAACAATGAAACTCATTGTCAGGGACTCGGTCCCCAGAGCGAACTTGGATGACTGGTAGGGCACTGGCAGGTCGCAACACAGAGTAATGGCCCCGTAACGGTTTTTATAGTACAATAGCTGCAAGGAAACCTCCCCCTTGAATCACGGGATAGAAGTATACTACAACATAGAATATGCGAAACTCATATTACCGTCTCTGGACAAGTATTATATCGAATGGAAGCTAAGCATCAACATGTTAAAATTCAAGGTGCCGAGGAATCGAAGGATAGTATATCATGGTAGACGCACACGCAGGGTTTTAATAAACGCCGTGTACACAGATCACATCATAACGACATGTTATACTTATACTTTAGTACCTAATTAGTATCATATACCACCTACTCAAGGCTCAAAGAGCGTGAACACTGCTTGAATTGTACACCGCATTACCACTCGACACCTGTTGAACACGCATCATCAAAGCTGATGGTTGAAAGGAGACATATGGTTAAGTCATGAGTTTATCAGATTGGACCGTCACTATGCCATGAAGAGGAAGCCTGTTCGGCGTGAACCACGTGCTGCTCACAAAAAAGGGTGCTGTAGATAGATTGCTCGCGCTATGGCCTTCTCAGGAAGATCATACTACTTACACGCTCCATTTCCGTTTCAAATACCATGTACCTTTCTTTTTCTGTCCATGAATCCCGAGTCTCCATATTCTGCGCATTGGCACTCATAACTAGTTCCGTATTGCCATCAAAAACATCGTACATGTCTCCAGCCGTGCTAGGCTTTCATCAGAGGTAAAACATCGTGTTTCGAATACTTGCGTGCACGTCAATAGACACGGGCTCTTGAATCGTTGAGTCAGATGCTACGGACTGCGTGTCAGACCTTTCAAACAGGTCCGAGAGATACACTCGCCCACGAGTGCAGAGAATGTCTGCGTAGTATGCAGCTGGACAGATGCTAACAGCCTTGGTAGCTCGCCCAAACAAATGACACATCTCGTAGGTCAGCTTTTCAAGCTGGTTGGCTGCTTGATCTCGTGACAAGGCTCGAAACACTTCATCATATAGCACAGTATAATGCGCCGGTCGCGAAGTTCCTGATGCAGAGAGTCAGCGAGACTGAACATGATAGTAAGACAGAGAACGGAACATACCTTGTAGTCCTTTATGAGCAGTCAAGTAAAAGTCCCATATAGTCGCTAGAGTAACTCCACGATCAACGACTGTGCCATTCTTGATGTTTCGAGACTGCACCATGTTTCTTTGGTCTGTCGGATAGAAGCGAGTCTGATGTCGCTTGACGGACACAATGATAGTTATCTTGTATTGCTGCGTACCCGGATATACCTTCTTGCATGCCTCTTTGAT